CAGCTTGAGGCACTGTCTCAAAAAAAAAAAAGAAAACAGGGCTGCCCTCCAGAATGTGTAAGACATTCTTAATTACTGCGTCTGGAAGCTGACTGAACGTACCCTGTGGCTGCCATCACGTTCTGGGCCCTCCCAGGCCTGTTTTCCACGCGCACCGGCCTTGCTCACACACTAGATGGTACTCACCAGTCTCCCGTGAAATGACCTGGGCTGAAACCCTTTCTTGCGCTAACTAAGCCCCTCAGTGATGAGGTGTCCTGTTCATCCTATTTAGATGACTAACTTCTACCCACACTGCCGATTATTACAGCTGTTGTGTGAACCTAGAGAAAGAGATGGGTTAAAACAGAACCCAACATATTTAAGGAAAAAAAGAACCTATGCGTGTGTACCAGCCTAGAAATAAAATTATGGACTTTCTGGATGAATGATTTTGTGTTCCCGTGAACAGGCCCATACTAATTTTTAAACCATTATTTTCTAAGTCCTCTTCAGAAACGTTGGAAAAAAAAGAAGAAGGAAAAAGAAGAAATGAAAACTCTGCGTGAAGATAAACCTGTAAATGAAGATAGTCAGGAGACTAACATTGCTTAGTGGTAAGTGGGTGGACTTGGTAGGTGAGGAACTATTCGGGGGACTTTGAACTGGTGAGATGGGTCTTAACTGTACCTCATACATCATTGATTGGAATTTGATTATGCTCAAAAACACCTACGAATAAACTGATGGTTTTTCACAGAATGCAAGCCAGAAAAAAGCCTTGCGCGTAGCTTTCTTCTGCGTGTTACCCAGGGATGGGCATTTGGATTCCGTGTGGTTGGGGTGGTTGCCTTGTATATAACCTTTTCTTCCTATTTTCGGGCACAGGGATTTTAGCTGACATCTCATATTTCTAGAAAGTCACAATAGCAATTAACGCCGTTTCTTGGGCATTTACCGCATGCCAAGCGCTGTTCTGAGCTCTTTCAATGTCCTATCAGCTCAGATCCCAGCAGGGAGCAAAAATCTGCTCAGATGGCTCAATAAAGTGATTTTGAGGAGGCTGGATATTTATAGGAACCCACAGAAAATGTTGAGGGTCCCGAGTCTGGTGGGGAGCTGTTCCTCTTCCTATGCTTGGAACTTGGCACTCAGAGGAGCCCCGGAGGAGGGGACAGAGGTGCCCCCAGGTGAGAGGGAATAGCCACTGCGGAGCCCATTTGAGGATGGAGGGAGGAAGGGGGGAAAACACCCCAGACCCTCTCCCTTCCTGCCTTCAGGTCTTCAGTAGGTGGAGCCCTGGTGATGGAACATTCCGCAAGTAGCCACCAGAGACAGAGCAGGGCAGGGAAAAGTTTCAAGGGTTCCCACCCGGCTTAACTACTGGTACAGTCAAGCAGACTAGTTCTGGTTGTAATGACAACAAATCCAACTCAAACTGCCTTAGAACCAAGGCAGTGTATGGGCACCCAGAACGGCAGTCCAGAGGCAAGGTGGGTTCCACCGCTGCAGAGACTGGAGGCTGACGCTCAGAGGCCAGGCCCTTTCTCTCTGCTCACTGCTCCCAGAGCGGGCTGCATCCTGGGCAGTTTCTCTTTAGTCATAGGAGAGGCGAGGAGCAGTCAGGGCCCAGGCTTTCTTGTTCGCACGCCTTTCTTGTTCGTGACAGAGCAGTGACTTTCCCAGTGCTCTCAGCGGCACAGAGCGTCCCCTTCCCCAGCAGATCCCTGCAGCTTCCTGGGGTAGCATAGACATCTGCTCATGTCCAAAATGTCCTGCTCTGCTCACTGATCACGGGGATGGCACTATGACCCGCACTCCAGAGTGCTGGCTCTGGAGTTACAACTACTGTCCTTTCATGGTAGATGTTCTTTCAGTGACCTGCTGTTACTCTCTCCACTCCCACAGGCTACCAAAGTCCCTCCAGGTGGGTGGCAGCCCGCTGAGTGTCTTGCTCATTCGAAAGTGGACAGACCTGTCTCAGGAAAACAGCTAGCAGAAATGAATTTTAAACATTGGATTAATATTTACTTTTTATTTGTAACTTTGGTTTGTGTTGTTATTGTTTGTAATAATAATAGTATTAATTTTATTATTGTATAGTAACGGGAAAAACTGTTCAGTTAACAACAGTGAGAAGGGGAATTTCAGTAAAGTTCCACGGAAGTTTTATCACCAGGCCAACTAGTCAAATAGAAAAAAAAATATCAAAACAAGTTTAGGTCTCTGGAATTGAATTATTAATAAAACTACCATTTAGCAAACCTTTACCAAGTACCGAGAATTAGAAATATGTTATTTCCTTTACTCCTTCCAACAACTAGTAGGATTCCTGTTATGTCTCCCATTTCTCAGGTACAGAAACAGGGACAAAGAAATAAAATAACAGAATCCAGACTTAGAGAGTTGGGCATTGGTGGGCCTGAAATTAGAACCAAGATTTATCCAAATCACAGTCTGTGCTCTTAGCCGTCAATTTTCATTAATGTAAGTTAGTGCAACCTAATTCCATAATATAATCCAAGCTCTTTAGCTGAACTGTGCTTTGCTGTGATTCTGAGAAGTCAAGGTCATTTTTCTGCAGAAGCAGAGAACAAAGTCAGGTCCTATGCTGGTATCACCATCATGCTTTCTGCAGAACTGATTTTTTTTTATTGTTTTGAGACAGACTCTCACTCTGTCACCTTGGGTAGAGTACCATGGTGTCATAGCTCACAGCAACCTGAAACTCTTGGGTTCAAGTGATCCTCCTGCCTCAGCCTTCTGAGTAGCTGGGAGTACAGGTGTCCACCACAATGCCTGGCTATTTTTTCTATTTTTAGTAAAGATGGGGCCTCACTCTTGCTCAGGCTGGTCTCGAACTCATAAACTCAGGCAATTCACCTGCCTCAGCCTCCCAGAGTGCTGGGATTACCTGCGTGAGCCATTATGCCAGGCCAAGACTCATGAATGGAGCTTGAAAATATTCTTCTCATTTGTATTCTTCTTACCGACAGTGTACACGATTGTTCGCAAGTAAATTTTGGTGCAGTGAAATCACGACCACATCTTCTACAAGATGCCCCTTCACTCTCTGGCTTATTGAATAAAGACTGTCTTAAACCTAAAAAAGTAACAGTCTACATTTAGCTGATATTCCATAGAATAACTTTCTACGTTGATTGACTGCATAACTTACAAAAATAAATGCAATATGTCCTGTAATTGCAGTACTTGGTGCCTGTCAGCCAAACAGCTTCTTTTTTGGAATCTTTGTAAACTTTCCTTTACAGGTTCCATAGCCAAAGTGAAGAGGAAAATTAAGACAAAAGCCAAAATTTTATATCTTCTTCTAGCATCCGTAATGTTGTAAGGGAGGCAGGGGCTGTTCTTGCATACAATACAGAAATAGCTCACTTACCTAGTAATACACAAGTTAACCTAAAACATGGACAGTTTTCAAGCTCTGTTTTTCCCTGACTTAATGACCGTCCCTGATACAGCATCCTGCCTGAGTCGAGTTGTGCATACCTTATTTTCAAAAGTCTCCTTCACACTCCCTCCTGCCCCTTCTCTTCCTCAGTCTTCTTTAATACAAAAGGGCTTAGAACAAACGTCTCTTAGGGTTTTTAAAAACACAAAACAGTGATATAAATGTTTCTTCTTTCTGGAACTGACGTTGGCTGAGCAGTGGAGTCTCTGAAGCAGTTTAGACCTGGGCGTTTTGTATCGATCCTAAAATGTTAACCATGGCTTTTGACATTTGATAGGTCTGATATCAAGAAACAATTTCAAGGATTTTCATAATTTAAAAAACTGTATTTTATAATTGTTTTACATATGCTAAATGACTTTGTTATGTAAGCTATCAATATTTTCATGTAATAAAAAATTTATTTTTAAAATAAAGCAAATGTGTTTTTACTTGGGAATTTTCCATTGGTACCATGAATTTTTTTTTTTTTTTTTGAGACAGAGCCTCAAGCTATCCCCCTGGGTAGAGTGCCGTGGCAATCACAGCTCATAGCAACCTCCAACTCCTGGGCTCAAGTGAGTCTACTGCCTCAGCCTCCCAAGTAGCTGGGACCACAGGCGTCCGCCACAACACCCGGCTACTTTTTGGTTGCAGCCATCATTGTTGTTTGGTGGGCCTGGGCTGGATTTGAACCCACCACTTTAGGTGTATGTGGCTGGCGCCTTGGCCGCTTCAGCCACAGGTGCCAAGCCAGTACCATGAATTATTAATAAAAATAAACTTGAAGGCTATTGCTTTTAAACAGTTTATACTTTATAGAACGTATCTGTTAATGCATCTCCAGGTGTCCTCAAACTACAGCCCATGGGCCACATGCAGCCCACCTAGAACATTTATCCGGCCTGCTGGGTGTTTCTGCCACCACTGCCTGTCCTGCTTAGCAGCCAACTCGTCCTGGGACCCACAGTCCGGCCCTCCAATGGTCTGAGGGACAGTGAACTGGTCCCCTGTTTAAAAAGTTTGAGGATCCCAGCATTTGACCAAGTTTTTTCTTTAGAAACTAAAGTGTGGGGAAGTGTAGTGGACACCTCCAGCACTGTCCATCCCAGACCCTGGGCACAATGTTGAACCCCACCTCCAGCTGCATTTGGTCAGACTGAGATGGGCACTTAGCAAGGTTGTACTAACTGAAGTCATTCCCCAGAAAACTGGAAACTTGAACTGAAGTCAGTCTTCTGCGGGTTCTTAGGGTACAAGAACGTGCATTTTGAAGCTACTGGCAGTTATACCTTGCTTTGTGTGGACCAGAAAAACAGAAGATGTTGTCCAGCAGGTAGAGAGGCTTGTAGCACATGTTGAGTAAAACATGAGATGAGACAGCGTTTCTGAGGGTGTGGCCCCCACTTACAAGCATTCTCAAAGTTTACTCTCATTCCTATTGACGGGCTCTACGAGACTTGTTAGTGTCCCTGTAATACTTTTCTCCTTTGGCTTAAATGAATTCTATTTGGGTTTCAGTAACCTGCAGCCAAGATCCTGATCGACTCAAGGCATCCTGAGATTTCAGACAATGGTTTGTTAATGTGGAAATGACATCCTCTGTGAAATAAAGTATCGATCAGTCCATTGTTTTCAAATAAGTCTCTTTTACTGTATTACATGAGCTTGTCTAGCACCACATCTCGTTTTCACCATGTAGCCATTCATGAGAGCACAGAGGTGGGGCAGAGCGCAGCAAGCATTGATTTGGCACCACTGTGTTTCAGGTACTGTGCTCCCCACTGTGACCAACCCAAGAACTGCATGGGCCATAAGAAGCTAAGAGTTTAGTGAGGAAACAGCCACTCACTGATGATTTGAATACAATTCAGTGCTCTGAGCAAAGCTGAGGAAACTTTGGGAACAGAGAGGAGAATGGCGGCCCAACCTGGAATCGGGGCCACTCCTGGGAAATCATCACCTGAACTGAGAAATAAAGGTCTCTGCCCCAAATTCTCAGCAAGAACAAATACTTCTTCAGTCCTTGACAACTTCTACAGAATTCTGATAGCTGGAGGGACCAACGGGTGGTGCGACAGGGAGCAGGTGCGGGAAGGCATTGAGGGCCTCCTGCCTTGCCCAGGCTGCCTGGGCAGGGTGGCGGAGGGCTTGTGGGCTCATGAGGTGCAGGACAGGTGTTCCTGGTTCCGGGGGGCGGGGGGAACTACAATTAAGTGGTGAGCTGAGTAGGGGGAGAGAGTTACTTCCTTCTGGAGTGTGTCACTTAGGCCTTGCCCATTTTCTATTCTATTTCACTGCCTGTGATGTAGGCAAGTGACATGGAGACATTCTGGGCCTAATGACTTGCTAATTCAATAAGACCCTGCTTGTGCAAAATTTTGTGAAGAAGGTTGAAAACCCTTGAGTACCCATGGTTTTAAGACTATTGCCTTAATGAGACCTTCACTTTATTATATTCTGCCCATACCTGGTTATGAAAGCATTAACATTTCTGGGCACGCTCTCCTTCATTCATTCAAAGCTACAGTATTTATTGAGTACCTGCTATGCGCCAACTTCCTTAGGTGCTAGGGCTACCCCGGTTAAGTTACATGAAGCAGTTGAAAAAATCTCTGGCCTCACAGAACTTATTTTCCAATGGATATAACCTTTCACAGCACATAATTTAAAACAAGACTTACCTAAAACATTATTTTATCCAGAGGACATTGTTATTACATTGTTAATCTAAACAACTGTCTTAGAACATGAAACTTAAAATGAACTCTAGGAAGAACTCGGTACATGGTAGGTTTAGCAGATTTCCCTTGACCCAGAATGAAAGCAAAAAAAAAAAAA